TCATTAAGTGGTCTGCATGAGCGTGCGCATTCATCGGTGTTGGCGTTTTCCCTCACGTTTGCCGCACAAACAGGCGTGATGACTTGCGTGCCGCTGCTGCACTTGCTGGCAGGCGGTCTCAAACCTCTCTCATTCGTGACATATTCAATAGAAACTGTAAGTTAGCTTGGTACTTTAAACTTACAATTTAAATTACATATTTGAATTACATATACATATTCAATAGAAACTGTAAGTTAGCTTGGTACTTTAAACTTACAGTTTAAATTACATATTTGAATTACATATACATATTCAGTAGAAACTGTAAGTTAGCTTGGTAGTTTAAACTTACAATTTAAATTACATATTTGAATTACATATACATATTCATTAGAAACCGTAAGTTAGCTTGGTACTTTAAACTTAAATAGAATTCAATAGAAACTGTGTAAGTTTCTATTGAATTCTATACATATTCAATAGAAACTGTTAGTTAGCTTGGTACTTTAAACGTGACGTGAAAACGAGGAATCATAATTTTTGAAACCTGTTCAAATTTATTAATTTTTCTCCCATACTAGTTTTATGGCATCCTATTCAATTTAGAGGCAGTATATTGTATTCTACGTATCGAAATAATCTTTTGCACAATGTGAAAACTTCTTCAGTTGTTCAACTTGTGGATTAATTTATTGTTGATAGTCACAAATTAATAAAATAATATACTGGCATATCTTGGAAGAAACATCATTCGGTAAATGTAAGGGCAACATACCGGTTTTGTAGTTGTAAATAAAGAAGATAAGTATAGCGTTTTGAGCAGCAGCGCTGTCGCCGAGTAGCGTTTTTATGTGCGTTCACTCTCTCTTTCTTTAAAGTGAATAAGACTGCACCACTTTCCTCGTGGACAAGAAACAGGAGCGGTCCTGGCTCTCAAATGTTAACTTGCAGACTCGTATATTCGTATGCTCTTCTGTATAGCATCAGGTATAAGAAACCTAACATCGTTGTGCAAAAATTGCACTGACCGAGGGCTATTATAAGCTTTAAAAAGAAAGGGTTCTGGTAGCTAAGAATCTAACAAAGAATCAGTTGTGCTGTCTAGAATGCTTAGAATTTTCTAAAGCAAAGTCGTCAAATTCATTGAATTAACTCGAACCGGAGTAAGTTATTGATGGCGACATTTATTTGAAACATAATCAAATGGTCGCAGATAAAAGTACACTGAATATTGCAACGACATTTGAGTCATTTCTGAAGGTCAGTGAGAAAATAATTACATTGTACGAGGAGCTTTGAAAGCAGTTCCCGCACACTTATATAAAGGAAGGTTTGCCATGCAATCAATACCAGTCCATGCGTTGTTATTCAAGACCTATTGAATGAAATATTATATTTTACTATTTATTCAACCAACAAACATGTAAACTTTGAAGTTCGCAGGCCTACTCTTATGACCACATGGAGAAAGTGGTGGATCATTGCTCTCGTACATGCGAGCATAGTTTGGCTTGGCAATCGGCCACGCCAAATTCTACATCTTGCATTTTTTTTCTGTGCTTTCTATTTGGTAGTCCTTCTGGGCCTCACTTTCTTTTTAGTATGCGGCGAGAACAACGCGATTTGTCCTTCGCAGAGGCATTTTTTGTTGGGTATATGGCGAGAATTTCATGATTCGTCCGCTTGGCAGCGTATGCCACTTATTTATTTTGGTACGATGCGAGAACTACACAGTGTGACCTCAGTCGCAGTACTGAATCAATTAAAGTATCTTATTTTTAATAAATTTCTCTATCACGAAAAACTTATAAAATAACAAATTTTACGAACAATATATCTACGTTTCTGGTTTGAACACAAAATTTATGGGAGAAATCGTGGATTTCTTGACCTATTACGACAATGATGTTGAAAATGTCTAAAGACATTGTCTGACCAATGCCCCAAAAATCGGTAGCAACATTGTTACGCGGTATCTGAAGATTCAAGCTATGCTTCCAATTTCTCAGTCGTCGAAGCTTTCGCATTCACTCCACGGCGCATTTTTGATCGTAACGTTCGACGTCGACTTTTCCATCAAAGCGGCCGCAACGCGTCATGATTGACGGATTTTACGTTAATGGTCGCAGTTTACGTTAGCGTTTCCGGGTCTTGCTGAACTGCTGCCAGTTTGACTATTGAAATTCTATATGAAATTTCACTGTAAAGAGAATGCATGGAGGCATATTTATCAGATTAAGATGTTTCTCTTTTATTTTAACTCATCGTATTGGTCGGCCTATACTTCATATTTAATCGCGATTTAACTACTGTGTTTGTTCAAAAAGATCGCAGGCGCAGCTTTCACCGAGCGATGACTGCTGTCAAAGTGGCGGGTAACTTCAAGCGTGTCGCCGAACATAGAAAAGTGGCTAGAGCTTCACACACTTCGCGTCAATTGATTTGATCGTTGCAAATAAGAGACAAATAATTACAATTGTGAAATATCCTCTTCAGTAGAGGGCAAGTACAACTAATTGAAAATGACCGTGTTTTTGCCGTTACCAAAACTTGTATTTTCCTAGACAGAAAAAATGAAACCTTTAAATGATTTCACCACTTTCTCGTTTAAATGATTTTCATCGTAAACACTGCGTTAAACGATGCATTCAGAAAAGTGTGCTATCTTGTTAAAGAGTCGCCAGACATGCACAAATATTCCTGAAATTTCGCGAAAAATTTTTTCGATACAAAAACCAAGATGCGAGAGAAGCAACCTGTCAAGAAGCAATAAGAGAAAGGTGCGTAGAAATGTGATTTTGATAAAGTTGCATGAAAGGTCGGGACGCTCGGAATCCGCACTTGTGAAGAGCTCACCAAGCCGCGCAGGCGCCCGAGATGCGCGCGGGCCGACATTGCGCTACAAGACCGCGTTCGTGTGTTCCCATATTAATGTGCTATGATAAGTGATGGACTTCTCATTGCACATTAATGTGTGTTCCCACATTAATGTGCTATGATAAGTGATGGACTTCTCATTGCACATTAATGTGTGTTCCCACATTAATGTGCTATGATAAGTGATGGACTTCTCATTGCACATTAATGTGTGTTCCCACATTAATGTGCAATGAGAAGTGATGGAGTGCAGCGTTGTGCCTCCTCTCACCCTCCGCCGGTACATGATCCGTTATCCCAGTGCTTCACAAACCTTTTTTAATCGAGGAGCTCTTAATTGTAGGTCCTGACAGTCACGATGTACCACCAGTTACTCGTCACGTAAATACCGACGAATACTATATATTGGCCGTTAGTGATTAGTATTACTGCTGTTTAGGTTTACTTAATCGTTTTTTATCGAATCAGGTAACTGTACTATTCAAATTTAACGGTGGACTCCTGAGATCATTCAGACGGCATGTGGCAACTGTTGCAAATCTTTGCCATGGGTTAGCTCGTGTTGGGCTGCTGATATTTTTGTAGATTAGAAAACAAAAATTAAACAGTTCACAGTCTGAACGTGTTGCGTTCCACTAGTGGTGCGCGTATCGCAGTTTGGGAGCTACTACCTTAGTCTGTTCTTACCGCACGCAGCATTTAACTTGGCGTGACAACGTACGTGACATCCGAATAAGGTTCATAATAATACATTTTATCAACAACTCATTGTCACTTGGCATTCAAGGATCCTAACTTGATGTTTTAATACTAACTCGATCGCTGAACTAATCACGTATTTTTTTCGACCATACAATCTCGCTCACGGATGACGCATTGTCTGAGACGCGACATAATACTGCCACTAATTATATTGATCACATAATAATAGTAGGCATAACAATGCGATGCAAGCCATGCATGTCTTACGATGTTCTGCTGCTCTGATGTCCTTCAGCGCAGTTGCATTCCGTCGCATAAACCTTATTAGATTATTTCTGATGCGTGACGTTATCGTTCGATTTTATTATGCAATTTCATGCAATTTCTTTAATTATATCATCGGAATATTTTATCATTCTACTAATGTTTGGCCAGAGTGATGTAGATAGCGAAACTGAAAACAAATGTTGTAGCCTGTCACTGTCTAAAAATATTTAGTTTAATCGAAGTACTACTTAAAGACGAGATTAAAATCCCAGTTGATGTATTGCTTCTTAAGGGAATATTCTAAGCTTAGCTTTTTCATACACGTCGTCACAAGCATTTGTCAAGGACTAGATACTTGATTAAAGTCACTTCCCGATGCCCTCCTGGAAGCCTGCTGTAGCTTTGTGTTTGAATGTGTTTTGCCGAAATCGCGGAATTGCCGATTATATGGAATCGGCAACCAGTTTGCCGAATCTTTAGCATCAGCATTACGTTGCTGATTCAGAAAATGGGACGTTTGAGTTAGAGTTATTACATAAATCGACAGTTAGAGTTAGAAGAGGTTAGGTCAAGTTCGGTCAAGTTCCTTTTTATTTAAATACTAAAATAAAGAACAGGACTGACTGACCTAACCCCAGATTCCTATAGTATAGAAATGCTGATTCTACAGATTCGGCGAACCAGCTGCCGATTCCATAGAATCGTCAATTCCGCGATTTCGGCACGACAAATGAAATTGATCGATTTGCTATTTGTGCAGTGACAAGATTTATATCGTTCTCCCTGAAATTCTTACGTCCCAGGTTATGTCTTTAATAAATGACAATTTTTTTTTCTTCATGAAATTCTTACATACAAGGTTATGTCTTAAATAAATGAATAATTTTTCACAATTTGTTAGAAGAGTTAAGGTTTTGACTGGCTGAAAGATATGAAGAACCAGGAGTGTGGTTCTCGCTGAGACATGCGTTGCGTGTACTACAGACAGGGCGACGGTCGGCCAGGGTTGACGAGCTACAACTTCTGGTAGGGTGTTGCCGGCGGCGGCCTGCAGTACATGTTAATGAGACGGCCAGTCTTGGCTGCCGGCTACCGGGCCTTCATCATGCCTTGTGCTGCTGCCTCCTGCTGCCTGTAGCTATAGCTTATGCTGCTGCCTGTAGCTATAGCTTATGCTGCTGCCTCCTGCTGCCTGTAGCTATANTTCTCCCGACCTCACAAGAGGAAGAGCACCCGAGTTCTCCCGACCTCACAAGAGGAAGAGCACCCGAGTTCTCCCGACCTCACAAGAGGAAGAGCACCCGAGTTCTCCCGACCTCACAAGAGGAAGAGCACCCGAGTTCTCCCGACCTCACAAGAGGAAGAGCACCCGAGTTCTCCCGACCTCACAAGAGGAAGAGCACCCGAGTTCTCCCGACCTCACAAGAGGAAGAGCACCCGAGTTCTCCCGACCTCACAAGAGGAAGAGCACCCGAGTTCTCCCGACCTCACAAGAGGAAGAGCACCCGAGTTCTCCCGACCTCACAAGAGGAAGAGCACCCGAGTTCTCCCGACCTCACAAGAGGAAGAGCACCCGAGTTCTCCCGACCTCACAAGAGGAAGAGCACCCGAGTTCTCCCGACCTCACAAGAGGAAGAGCACCCGAGTTCTCCCGACCTCACAAGAGGAAGAGCACCCGAGTTCTCCCGACCTCACAAGAGGAAGAGCACCCGAGTTCTCCCGACCTCACAAGAGGAAGAGCACCCGAGTTCTCCCGACCTCACAAGAGGAAGAGCACCCGAGTTCTCCCGACCTCACAAGAGGAAGAGCACCCGAGTTCTCCCGACCTCACAAGAGGAAGAGCACCCGAGTTCTCCCGACCTCACAAGAGGAAGAGCACCCGAGTTCTCCCGACCTCACAAGAGGAAGAGCACCCGAGTTCTCCCGACCTCACAAGAGGAAGAGCACCCGAGATCTCCCGACCTCCCCAGCGCCAGACACGCGACGCAGGGCGCAGGTCGCCGGGGCAGGACCCGACGCTGCGTGCGTGACCACGTCGCCCTCACCGCACCCCAGCGGCGTCACGACGCGGCGTCTCTGCATTCCTGGGGCGTCTTGTGCTCACCGGCGCTCCCTGCGATGTCTTAGAGTGATTTCAATTGTCCTATAAGAAAATATTGTCAGCGCTCATAGTCTCATAGGAAGTTCATAGTTTTTTTAATTGTCCTAAAAGAAAATATAATATCGGCGCTCGGACTCGAATGTTCATATTTTTTTTTCTACTGAGCACGGAGTCACCCTTAGGGCCGTCGGATGTTGTGTTTAGTTACTCTCTCTAAAAAATTAATTTACATGCTTTATCTCTTTCCAAATTCTCTTGCTGATTTGAGATGAATTTAATGCACATTTTAATTACTCCTAATGTCCGTCGGTCATTTTTAACAAGCTCTGCTGGCACGCGTCCGAACCTCCTCCAAGAATTTTCAGTCCTCTATTAACTTTCATTCCTCCAAACATCATTTTGAGTAGGTACCCAAACTTCAACTAAAGCTTACACGTGGGATATATTCTACTAGGAAAATGAATGCGAAAACTTCAGAAGGACGACTTGCGGCAAGTCAAAGTCGTGCAGCTGGTGCAGGAAATTCCTGGTCACTGCGCTGCCGGTCGCGGCAACAAACAAGGATGCCGATGTTTCTTGGGTTTTCTCGGAATCCTGAACTGCGGTTACGTGATCGCTATGGCAGAGACCGGATCTTCAGCCATAATACCGAGTTATTCGCCATCATCCATGAGATAGAGTCAGGCCTCAGAGTTTGTGCTTGCCAATTACCGCTGAATTCGTCTTGAGTTTGTTTTCTTTATCGGCCACGCGTGAACTCTCAGGCGGCATTCACGCTCACGACGCGCCGCAACGAAGCCTGGGTCCTCGCGTGATGTATCGCAGTTCGGGTCTTGTTTTGGTGCTGGGAATCTTCAGATCTTGGATGTTACGGACGCGTGACTTGGGAGACGTGTTCCTGCCATGCCTAAAGTGTACAACCCATCGGGTAGTGAGAACTCGACTTGCACGCGACCGATCCTGAGAAACGTGAATCGTGTAACTGCGTAGAGACTGTACGACTTGATAAAAATATAATTTGGTAAAGACTTGCTATAAATTGAATTGAAAAATTACAGGAATAATGCATTTTGATAGGGTTCTAATTAAGCAAGCTTGTTTGTTTCAATCTTTGCGTTTGAAGTCATCGGAAAAATTTTCAACCTTCTTTAGTTTCGAAAACATCTTCTTCACAACGTGGGTAGCCTTTTACTTTCGGAGTTGTAAACTATAGCTCGAATTGGCAACATGTAGGCCTGTGTTGTATCTGAAAGAGAGAGATGACACTCTAGGCGAAATGGCCGTAGCTGGAGGACCGGCGGGTGGCGGGTGGATTTCAGAGCCAGCAGGTCTTGTGAGGCCTCAAATTTGGGTTTAATTTGAGGCGCTTTGTTACTCGTCAAGAATTATTGTGGAATAGTATAAGAGTCAAGAATATGTAATATGTATATATGTAATATGTAATAATATGTCAAGAATATGTAATATGTACTTTGTTACTCACAATTACGTGTTTCAGAGCCAGCAGGTCTATGCGAGGCCTCAAATTTTGGTTTAATTTGAGGCGCTTTGGTAAGATTATGATTTATGGCGTGTATTGAACGCCTGCCTGCCTTCTCTGCATTTTTCTTATTGCTGTAGTAATCGTCGAGCTAATCAACTAGCGTTAATTTTGATAAGTGTAACGCAATACTATTCTCAATTTAGGGGCGGATAGTTGAGGATTTGGGGCGGATAGTTGAGGATTTTATTATTTTCATTGCGCTAATTTTGATTAAAACTTTCGTGTATTAAAACTGATCTCACGTTGTAAGTGTATCGTCTAGAACAAATTCAGGATAAAACTGATAACATCAAGGTGCTACATATAAAATAAATAACAGATAAACTGATTACTGTATGGCGTTAAATAGCGCCACTTCAATATCCCATTAAAACTAATAAAAGCTTATTAATACTGAATAATTGAATAATTACAAGCTTATTAATAATTAATAAGGTTATTAATTGATATAAGCTTATTAATACTGAATTAGCTTATTAATACTAAAAATAAAAACAGCCTGTAGCTCTTAAAAGAGAACATAAATCCTGTTTAAATTCAAATTAGTTATGATTACAAAAAGAGTCCAGAAATTTTAACTTCGAAACTAGTTCATTGCCATTGATTTGGAAGTCGTCCGGATGATCGCTAAAATATTTTACTCAAAAACAGTTCTGTTTTATTAATTTTTAAGCCAGCCGTGGCCCATTTTGAATTTCTTGCTCCGAGCAGTTTTAGAAAAAAAATTTTGCCATAATACATAACTCTAAGAATGGACTGCAACGTTTTGTCAATTAATGTGGTGACATGCTCCTTTGTATTTAAAGTTATACCACCCCTGATTGAAAAATTAATTAATAGTTATGATTAGGACAACTAATAAAAAAATGTTCTTAACGAAGAAAGAGGTAAATACTTGTTAAAGCATGAAACCCTCCCAGAGCTTTACACAATACTAGGCAGACAAAACTAATGTGCTTGTTAATAATTTATATATTAAAAAAGTTTTTCATACTATCAAGAATAGAGCCGTGATGTATAAAATTACGAATTTACAGGTGATATCTCCTGAAACAGCAGCAGTAAAAATATCAGTCAACTTTTATCAATATGAGATATCAATTATCAATTCCAATAGCAGCGCTGAAATATCACATGCTACATCCTATATGCATTTCGCGTAACATAAAAAACGACGTTAACGACGAAAGGCTTAAAAATCACATTGAAATGAAAAAATAGTTATTTTATGAAAGNAAATCTGTGTGGACGCTAGTGTACTGACCTGAGGTTTGCTTTACTAATGATGATATTGGCTCTTGCAAATTGTTTCCGACCCCTCGTTTATTTAAAGTTACGAATGGCTGGAAAAACGTTAATCGTCTATTAGCAGTAGCTACATGGAAAGATGGAGGTCTTTTAATTCACCCTCTCAGAAATCGGGTTGGTTAGAGTATATTTGTACTAAAAGAAAAGACAATAATACGTATTACTGTCAACCATTCTCTATAGATGTGTATAAGAGACTTCATTACAACCTTTTGTTAATACTTGCTAGTACTTTCTTGAATTCTTGAATGATTTTATTGAAAGAAAAAATGTTAGGTTAGGCCGTTAGGAGGTGGAACTATTTTTTGTTAGCCGGTTGAACGTCGGCATAAATATTTAAGAGAAGTCGAACAAGCTGCAGGAAAATCGTCAACTCAACTATCCTTATGGTAATTAAAAACGATACCCCAACCCTGCCATATGCAGTGCCCCACATTCAATACTCCGTTCGTTAATCCCTTGTATACCCGACTTGCCCTCCATATCCGGGGCCCTGGTCCCGTCTCTCTGCCCTCGCGTGTCCCGGCATGAGCAGTCCCTGGCCCAGCATTCCATTTGTCCCGCAATTGCTGTGATCCTGAATCATGTTTATGCAGCCTGTGGCATGACAGGCTGTGGTGTAGACTGTGGCATGACAGGCTGTGGTGTAGACTGTGGCATGACAGGCTGTGGTGTAGACTGTGGCATGACAGGCTGAGGTGTAGACTGTGGCATGACAGGCTGTGGTGCAGCCTGTGGCATGACAGGCTGTGGTGTCACCATGCCCATGCTACTGGGCCACCCTGCCCATGCTACTGGGCCACCCTGCCCATGCTACTGGGCCACCATGCCCGTGCTACTGGGCCACCATGCCCATGCTACTAGCTGGGCCACCCTGCCCATACCACCGGGCCACCATGCCCATGCTACTAGCTGGGCCACCCTGCCCATGCCACCGGGCCACCATGCCCGTGCTACTGGGCCACCATGCCCATGCTACTAGCTGGGCCACCATGCCCATGCTACCTGGCCACCATGCCCATGCTACTAGCTGGGCCACCCTGCCCATACCACTGGGCCACCTTGCCCATAATTTAAAAATTATGTGATAGCCAAGCAAGCCATAGGTGACATATTTCCTGTTATTCCAGTCTTGTGTTCGGTGGCAATTCATATTCAGCGCCACTGTTTCTGATGAAAATGTTCCCGTGCTGTGCGTGCAGCATGCAAAGGCGTGGTCGTAGAATGGCTGCTCGGCAGCGAACGTCTCTCCAATTTGACTCGAAGTACTTATTTGTACGTCAGTCTGTACTGTGCAACATTTCTAATAATGGGATAAATTGAAAATTATTTTAAATTAATTTAATAATGGATAAATATAATTTTTGTATTTTTAGGTAGAGCCCTGTTTGCGGCTCGTTATGATAATAACGACCCGACTGGCAAATGGAAGCTCATTTCAGCAGCAGGACTGACGATACCATGACACGAAGTCAGCTTACATCCCTGACTAATATGCCTGTTAATCTGCTCGTGTATTGTTGCTGCCTGCTGACGGCAAGCTATCAGGCCATCAGACCAAAAGCACTGACGGTGGATAACATGTAATATGTATTACAAGTATCAGTTTGCGGCTCGTTATGATAATAACGACCCGACTGGCAAATGGAAGCTCATGTCATCAGCAGGACTGACGCTACCATGGCACGAAGTCAGCTTACATCCCTGACTAATATGCCTGTTAATCTGCTCGTGTATTGTTGCTGCCTGCTGACGGCAAGCTATCAGGCCATCAGACCAAAAGCACTGACGGCGGATAACATGTAATATGTATTACAAGTATCAGTTGACTTAAAGATTAAATTATGTCGATATTCAGAAGCTTAGGTTAAATTATTATTATGCAGAAGCAGTGCCACAATCGAGTCAGCCAGAAGCTTTTAGGTAACGTATAGGGGTTTAGTTTCTATGCACTTGTACGTGAAGCTTAGTATTTCAATAAAGGTTTTTACTGCAAAATGAATTCAGGTAAATTCCTCTTTGTCTCCCATATTTGTGGTAGAGCTTTAATACGGAAGTTGACCAATTTGTCGGCAACC